CGATTCCATATTGCAGACCAACACTTACTGTATTGAATCAGTAGAACAAGAGACCAAGACCCAAAACTCAAGCTCCTTCTCAGGCCTCGGTAACAGGATGCAGTAAGTTGCCAGCACTGTGGCAAGGATCATAGAGACCGACCTTATTATCGCCTCAACAACACCTGCAGCATATGTGGGAGTACCCAGCACTACGCAAGAGAATGTCAACGAAATCAAAATCAAGCAAGACCTACAGTCCATGACAGAGTCTATACACTCACTCAGTAGGGTGTTGAAGCAAACCTAAACGTAATACATGATACGTACACTATCTGCAACTACCTTACACGTATTTTAATTGATACTGGTGCATCATATTCTTTTGTTTCATATGTTTTTACTCAAAATTTAAATATATTACCTGAAAATCTTGATTCTGTACTATTGTGTCTACACCTAGGAACGAGACACTACGGGAAAATGTTATATACAAAGCTTATATAATAGAAATAGCATGTAGAAAATTGAGCGTAGATCTGATAGCACTTGATATGAGAGATTTTGATATAATTCTGGGAATGAACTGGTTAGCAGCATATCATGCCACTGTGTACTATTTTCATAAGAAGCTTGTATTCAACATTCTTAACAAAGAGTTTTTCACAAATTAATAAAAATTTTATATATTATTCACACGTGGTAACTGCATTGTTTATCAAATGTCGTTAACTCAGCTATTCTTTTCTACGTTAGACAAACCTAAGAAAGAGATTTGTATTCAAGATATTCCTATTGTCTGAGATTTTCTTGACGTATTCCCTGATGAACTATCAGGACTGCCAGTAGATCGAGAAGCGAGTTTGCCATAGACCTTCAGCCTAACACCTAGCCCATCTCAGTTACCTTATATTGAATGAGTCGTGTCGAGATGGAAGAACTAAGAAAACATATCAAAGAGTTGCAAGATAATGAGTTCATCCGATATAACATATCCCCTTGAAGTGCCAGAGTCACGTTCGCAAGGAAAAGTGATGAGTCTTTGATGTTATGTATTGACTACAAAAAACTGAATAGGATCACAATCAAGAACAAGTACCCCTTCTCAAAGATTGATAATCTTTTCGACTAATTACAGGG